TGGGACCACAGAGTACGAGGCAGATTCCATTTTACCTTTGAATCCCGGGCAGCTGGAACACTCACTGATCAAGGAATGCCTGGATCAGGAGAGAGTGCTCACGGCTGCATCTGGAAAGGCAGCAAGAGCACAGGCAGATTGCTCTGAGGGAGGAACCTCAGCTTCACTCCCTGTGAGAGCTCCTGCAAGCTATGCCCTCTCTCTCTGTGCCTCAGCTGTAAGGTGGGATACTTAAACGAATCCGTGTGAGGAAACATCCTTAAACCATGCACTCCCCAGGGAGCACTCAATGTCAGGATGTCAGGCGTCATTCTTATCATCAAAATTAGCCACACTTGCCTCACTATGGGGACGGATGTTTCAGTTAAGGAACTTCATCCAAGAACTATACCTATGAGAATCTATTTGTGTCTGTTTCCCTGGGGTGGACAGGGTGCCGAGTTGAGGGGGATGTGGGGAGTTAGACATCTGGGAGCAGCAATGATGAGGATAATTGTTGGAGTGTTCCCAGCCCAGATTGTCCATTAAACTGACATGAGCTTCAGTGGCCTTCCCCTGGACTGAATCCCAATAGGAAGTCCAGACTGCCAGTGGGGCTGGCCTCCATCTGGACATCAGGAGGAGGAATGCTCTCTCAATGTCGGCAGGAGGTGAGCTGTGCACCCTTGCATCCGGGAGCCACGGCTGAGCCCTGTCCTGAAAGAGATGGGAGTGCCCTCCCTAATTATGTTTCTTTCTGTGGGCCTGGGTGCATCTGTCTGCGCTTTGTGACAGTCAGAAGGAGAGCATGGTAGGCAAAAAGGATGGATTTCTGTTATTCTCTCACTTCCATCACTCAATATGTATGGTCACCAAAGCGCAGATTTTTCTCCTTCCTGAGCCATGCCCTGTTGTCTGCAGACACTGAATGCCCTACAGTGAATTTCAGTTCTGCTCCTGCCTGCCTGGTCCTGCAGGTGAAGGACTCAGTCCCGCAAGAGCCCCGCCCCCCTCAGAAGGCCATCTTGTCACCCACACTTCTGGTTGTGATTCAGAGGGTTCCAAGACCCCTTCTCCTCAGGGGCAGCCACTTGGTGCAGCAGCTCACACAGCTTGGGAGAGCACTTTTCTTAATTTGATTCCCTCCTAATCAAAGGATGTGACCCAGAACAGCCTGGGAGCAGAGATGCATTGAAGGTGGCATGGAGGAATAAGGTGAGCTGCAGGGTGCACAGAGCATCCACCACTGCTCTAGACACTCCAGTCTCAGCATCCCAGTGTGTTCACAGTGGGGAAGCTCCCTAAACCGCATGGATTTCAGTGGAGGCTTTATCATGCTGACTTTGTATGTAGATCCTCTTCCTTTTCCCAGAGGGAGGAGGAGGGACTGCAAGTTGCAAGTTTCAGGGTTTCTGATTCGGCCTCCCCTTGGTGACCAGCCCCTCATAGGAGGAGCCCCCCAAGAATTGCCTTGTTAGGATGAAAGACACTGCTATTGCCCAGGAGAGTCCAAGGTTTAGGAATTCTGTGATAGAAACTGAGATCAAAGTACACATGTTAGAAACCAAGACACCCCTATCACTCTTATTACTTAGGAGAACTCAGCGATTTGTGAACCATATGACAGGAGTTGGAGGTGAAGACACACTGTCTATTTCTTACTAAAAAATCACAATATCAGGGGTGAGAAATTATCTTTTTGACTCATGGAAGATCTGAGATCCCAAATGCCCTCTCTTAAACAGTCAGAAGCAAGTCGTCCCATGAAGGAGGCCACTTCCACTGAGTCGCATCTCCCACCTGCTATTCTCCCCAGGACCTCCATCCAGGGAAATCAATGGCTTTTGAATAACCAAGTGAGTTTCTGCCTTCACCAAGGCTGTGCTGAGTGCCAGCAGCTTCATCTCCACTAGTCAGCTTTCGATTTATAGTTCTCAGCCAAACACACTGTCTGCCTGGTGCTAGGAACTTGCATCAGACTTCCATGCGGACGTCTGAAATACTCTAATTCTGTGCCCCATGCTCCTCTGACCCTGGGTGGGGTTTTGAAGAAGTGGGTGGTCTTTATATAAATATGTCTTATCTGGAAGGTGGCACTGTTTATAAACAGCCTTGCTTTCCTGCTACTGAGAAACACAGATTTGGCCACGTTCTGTGGACCATCCATCACCAAGATGCCCAGTGTGAGAGAACTGTACCCACGTCATCTTAATCAGGGGCTTCAGTGACCCAATCTGATGAATGTATCTTGGTTAGAAACTCATGAGGACTTTATAAACAGCACAAATATACTGTAAATCTGCTTATGCCCCTTGGTGCTGAAAATATACCAAAACTGTATATGGGGGCGGAGCTCTTTCTGTGTTTATGCCAACCTTGAATAGCATTCTGTTTAGAAGTATTTCCAGGGATGACTATGGTGGCATAACAGGACACTTGCATCACGTATCTGAGCCCTAGTTTCCATACTGGCTATTTGGTTTCCAGTGCAGCTTCCTGCTAATGTGGCTGGGAAGATGTGAATGATGACCCATGAACTTGGTTCCCTGCCATCCACGTGAAAGATCTTAATGGACCTCTGGACCTTGGATTTAGCCAGACCCAACCATAGTCTCTAGTTATTGTAGGTGCTTGGGAACTGAACTGTTGAATAGAGGCTGGATATTCTCTCTCTCTCTCTCTCCCTTTATTGTCCCCTCTGTATTCTGTCATTCAAATAAGAAAATAAATACTTTAAGAAAGATCTGACCCAGCTTTTACAAAAAGGAAATGTTTGCTAATCTGAAAGGCAAACTTCTAGTTCAGTTGTTACTTGAGTTAGCATTCTTAGAACTACTAAATCCTTTTATTTTGTGTAAGCAAGAGAAATTGATTTCTTCTCAATATTTCACTGACTGTCCCACTACATGGCGTGTCAACTCTTCCCTTGTTCACTGACATCTCATACCTCCTCAATCCCCGAGGAAGTTTTATCTATTCTTGGATCTATTCCTGGATATCTGAGTAACTGACTTGTTAATGATATCTGGTCGGTTTCTGCCATTAGATTTTGAACATGTGTTTTATTTGTTCGAAAGGCAGAGTGGTAGAGAGAGAAGGAGATACAACCATTGGTTCACTCCCCATAGGCCTGCAATAACTGGACCCTTGCAAGGCAAAAGCCAAGTGCTAGGAACTCTATCAAATTCTTCTACATCAGTGACAGGGGCCCAAGTGCTTTAGCTATTATGTACTGTCTCCTGGATGTATTTGCTGGAAGCTGAATCAGAAGCAGAGGTGAGGATGAATTCCAAGCAGACTGATTTGGGATATGGACACCCCGTGTTAGTGGCTTAATCTACTATATCACATTGTCCACCCACAACCTGTGTTCTTTGAAGACAGATGCACTCTGAGTTGATTTGTGTCAAACACCTTACCTGCAAGCACTTATGCTGTCCACTGGCTGGGACCAAGGAAAGGATTTGCTGAGCTCTTGATGGAGTTGTCCTTTGGAGCAAATTGAAGGATACAGATGACTCGTAGAGACTTAAACAATGCCTTCAGGTTCACATGTGTCTGTGAAGTGAGCTCAGGTTCACCTTTGATTCATATCAGCTCTGGCATAAAAGATCCAACAGATACTGAGTTGAACAAGGAAAGAACAAGCAAGAAGCATCAATTGCTTAGTCGACACCAGTGACAGTCTGAGTGCTGTCACTGGTGTGGAATGTACAAAGATGTTTCAGATCAGATCCCTGACCTGGCAGAACTCACAGTCCAGGTGGGAGACAGGCATGCAAATCTAAGACTGGGATACAAGGTGACAAGTTCTCTAATGCATCTGCATAAATTAGTAGGAGTGACAACAGCCAATTTGACCGATTTCTGCCTGGAGAGTTGAGGGTGTGACATTTCAGCTAGCTTTTACAGAAGGAGATGCTGTCCACCAGGTAGGGCTTGTACAGAGGAACTGTCACATTGGGAACCAGAAGGCTGGGCTGAGGTCAGCTTCAGTAACCTACGCTCTGACAAGAACTGCCTTCTGAAGGCAAGCCTCCAGTCACTTCATGATGTCTCCGCTACCACCAGTAGATCAAGTGCCCACTGTTAATCGGTCAGCCATCAAGACAAGACTCGGGAGTGATTCAAGGGAACCAAGTGCTGTTCAATCCACAGCAGCATCCTAGGTGGAAATTGGGCAGAACAGAAGTTCACAAGCAGGGAGCAGTGCATGCACGTGACATTTTATACTAACAATGTCAGGATACACTTAAAATAGCAAAATGCTGGACTTGTGATTGTTCTGGAAGGACGATGCTATTTTAATAACCTAGGGGAACTCATTGGAAGGAATGGAATTGGGGAGTAGGGGGAGAGCAAATCCCTGAGCCTATGGAACAGTATCACTAATAACAATGATGATAATTTTGAAAAGGGAGTTTGGGGGGCACAAACAATGTACAAAAGACATGGGAGAGCTGAATTCTGCACTGACAGGGTATCCTTGTTTTCAATCAAGAATCCCATCCAAGTTTCATCATAACTGGATGGATGCTAGTGTGGAGGCACACGTGTGAGGACAGGAAGCCGTTCTAGTAAGACACTCATAACTTGGCAGTATTATGTTCTGTACACTGGTTGTGTGCTGCAAATGTGTATTTTTCTGTGAGTGACAGCACAGTAGATTTGTTTATTCTAGCCTCTGCACACATTTGTGAGAGCTGCATTGGACTTTGAACGTTTGATGGCAACAATGACAGGAGTTTCTCAGCTCCGTTATAATCCTACCTTTGCATGCGTGGCCCATTGTTGACTGAAAGGTTCATATACTGCATGACCGTGCTGACAGATGGTTGGGAGCGTGTAGCGTTACAGATGCTAATCACTGCCTCTTGCCATTGTGCTTGTGGCATTTTCAGCATGTTCAACAACTTCCAGTGTTACTGATTCTTGGCTCATGGTTGTGTTGAGGAGAAGAGCATTGCATCGGACACAGGTTCAGCCATTCTTTTGCTCATACTTACGTCTTCTCCTTCCAGGGGATGGCCAGGTGGACTTTGATGAATTCATGACAATTCTTGGTCCCAAACTGGTGTCATCAGAAGGCCGAGATGGTTTTCTTGGAAACACCATCGACAGCATATTCTGGCAGGTGAGTAAAAACATTTTTTTTTTTCATGTAAAGATTCGATTTGACAGTGGATGGAAGCCCTGTATTGACTTTTGAGTGGATGTATGCACTCTGATTCTGCACAGGAAGATCTCCTTGGGGCTGGATTGACTCAGATTCCTTGAGTTGGATGTCAAGGTCAAGGTCTGTGTGAGAACTTTTGGACAAAGAACCAGAACTGTACTGCTTTAAGGTTTGGAGGAGTGAAATATCCTCCCAGTTCTCCACTTCTGATTCACAAAAGTACTTTTTTCCTATAATGTTTTAGAAGGCCATATTTTAGTATCTGCAGCTGCTCTGTGTTTGAGCCTGACTCCAGGAGCTCTTTGAACACAGAACAGCCTGGTTGTCTCAAGGATTTGACTCCCCTTACTTTTAATGGTCCACAATGGTTTTATCTAAGAATTTGTACCCGGTGTTTCTTGATGAGCTCTTGCTTTTGTCTTCTAAAATTGCTTAACAAATTCCAAATATCATCCTTCAGATTTTTAAAGGGCTAATAACTTGTTTTACATATTAGCTGCCTCATCTTTAAACTGACTCTCTTGTCATGGTTATGGAACTTGGGGGGATAAGTTCTCAATCAGCATTTCATAAATCTACTCCGAAGGAGTTTTCAAGTTAAACTGAGTAACTGGTTGGACAAGTGAAACATTCAAACACACCATAGTTTCTTTAATATCTTGACGTGTATTTTTTCTTCATCAAAGCTGTTTCTCCAACTTAAATAAGGATGCAGTTGGCAAATTTCTCTAGTCTTGTTCTGGTACCCTTCTTGCAAATAACCCACAAGTCTTTAATAAGAACTTATTCCGTGCTGTGCAGTCTTAGCCATCGTGAGTTTTGTGAAGGGTATTTAAGGTAGTATTGTTGAAGACCTTAACTGAATAAACACCAGTAAGAGAGAGTAATCAAAGAAGACAGGAGTATGATGGTGGTAACATTTTCATCCCATTACTCACCATTCTAGTTCTTGCAGCATGCATCACGCTGCTAAAAGCAGGCCCCCAACGTATCCTCTCTCACTTGAATGAATAGAAGTGCAATAGAGGAAAAAAATGTGGTCTGGAGGGATCAGATAAAACGTGGAGAAATGGATGAAATGGATCATTTGCTTTGAACCTTGAAATATATATAGGAGTAAATATAAGGGGAGGAAATGGGGCATGCCAGGCCACTAGGACAAGTGGTTGCCAAGGAAGGGAGGCAGTAGGCACCAGCAAATTCATTATTCAAAACCAGGAACCCGTGTAAAGAGAAAGACCTCAGGATCCAGGTGCAGAGGCAGACTGATTCCAAATTCCCAACTTGTTGTTTTGGACAGTAGTAAGAGCGCTGGGTGATAGCAACGTCTTCTTGGGGCTGAGTTCTGAATTAGACAGACGTCCCTCCTGCAAATTGGTAAGCTATACCTCCAGTAGAGGTCTTCTGTCTGCAGATCATCTCCACGTCAAGGAAGTGTTTCCTTCGACTAACAAACAAGAGCAGAAGCAATTAATCAGTCAGTAGACGGCCTCCCCTGCCTCCCCAGTGGGCCTGCCCATTCAGAGATGACATGAAATAGTTGCGCTCAAAGCACTCAGCATCGGGACCTTTCATATTTCCAGTGCGTGAGTGCTTTGCTTCACGTTGAAGCATGTTGGGTGCATGTTGTTTGTGTGAATATGTATGTGTGTGTAGGTGCATTGTGTGTGTGCCAGTATGTGCCTACGTCCATGTGCACATGTGTATGTGTGTAGGCATGTGCGTGTACCAGGACATGCTTACATGTGCAGGCTACGTGTGCATGTGCAGGTATGTCTGCATATGTGCAAGTATTGCATATGTGTACAAGTATTCCTGTGTATGAGGACTGTCGTGTGTGTGTGTAGGTGTCAGTGTGTACATGTGTACAGACACATGTGTATGTGTGTAGTCATGTATGTGTATGCAGCAGTGTGTACGTATATGTAGTTATACATGTGTATATGCAGATATGGATATATATGTGCAGGTATGTTTGTATTTGCACACACATAAATCCTTGTTTTCCACTTACCAGTGATTGCATATGGTATGAGAAAGCAAGGCAGCCTTTTGCCTTTGGATATTACTATCAGGAGAGGCTGATTCTAAAATGGAGACAAACAATTTAAGACACTCTGGCAAAGGCCATATCTTAGACCTTATCCGTGTCCCAGAGAAATGGAGGTGACGGTACACCTGGACAGATATGTGGGTGACCTCTGGAAGAAAATGTGTTACATCCGACTGTCAGAACAGAAGGTAACCATTGCTTGTCTGTCCAGCTGCTTCTGCAGCCAGGGGCTTTGAAAGCAGCTTTGCTGGGTGGTGACTTCAGAGTCTCTCATGATTACTGCCTGGATGCTAGCTGTGATTGTAGTCTCCTGAAAGCTGGGGTGTGCTGGAGGCCGTGGCTCACTCTTGCTATGTTTGCACAGGTTCCCGTTGCCTTGATTGCTCCATGGTGTTGCGGGTGTATCCCTATGGCATGCCAGCCGGCTTCTGCAAAACCAAGGGTCCATGACAGCACTGGGCTGAAGCCACGGTGTCTTAAAGACACAGCTTTGGAAGCTACGCTCCGTCATTGCTGCACTGTCCTCTTGGTTACACGGGTAGCGCCTGTTAAGTGAGGGAAGTGTGGGTGCCAGCTTGGGGGCTGGTAACCACGAAGGGTAGAGTCCATAATTGAACTTCAACTTCTGACTGATATGACTAGCAGTTCCTTCCCCTCAGGATTTGGTTTCTTCCTAACTTAGAAGAAACTGGTGACTATGGCTGTTCTCTGTGTTCATGAGAAATGATCTAACCAGGCAAAGTAGGTTCACCTTGCTACTTCAATCTGTTTTGTCAGGGCTTCCTGCATGTTGGTGTTCTAGCCTCCACTGCCAAGAGTAAAATAAAGTCAAATGGGATTATACAAAAGAAATAAGTAATCAGTTACATATTGGTTGATGCTACCTAGTCCCACAAATTACGAGCCACTGGCTCTTGGCAGGAAATTGCCACCTGTGCTGTACAGATGATCTGTTGCTGCGGCTTCCTGCCCAAGAAAGATGGCCTCGGCTTCTCTGGTGTTCCCAGGGGCTCTCGGCTTCCTCCGCATGCAGTTCATAGAGGTTCTCTCACGTGTAGTGAATCATAACCTGTGACACTTCTCTTCTGGTCTCTTCATTCCTGCAGCTTCTCTGTGCTTGTTGTCACTGCAGGAATACACTTGGGGGGGGGGGTGGGGGAAAAGCAGTGAAGGAGTATTTGATGTGAGCTTTCGGTCTTGGTGGATGGAAATGATGGAGGTCAGGGCTGGAAAGGGCTGAGTGGGGCGGGGATTGGGCCTGTGGAGTGTTCTGCTTGTTCTGTGCATCTTGTGGAGTGTGGCCCTCGGGGTCCCTGTGGTTGCACCTGCATTCACACCACACACCCTGAGCCCATGTGTATCCCAGAATGAACGTCTCACGCTGCAACAGCAGTCCCCGAGCGGCAGAGCAAGGAGCCCTGTCACTGCTACACAGAGCTCACCAGTTGCTCCTCCTGACCCCAAGAACTGTGTGACCTGCAGTGAGTTTGCACAAACTGAGGTGAGGCTGATGGTACCGATCATAGCGCAGATTCAGCAGCTCTGCCGACCCCTTCTCTATCCAAACTCATCCATATTTGGCTGGCAAAGCTGCTTGTTTATCTTCCTGTTGATACTGTGAGATCCAAGACAATGCCTTGGCCAGAGCAATCCTGATAGACATCAATCAAATGGGTATGTTGTAGGGCGGGGCTCCTAGGCTCGCATTTTTATCTGATTCACAATTCAACCTCCCCCTCAAGGCTTCACCAGTTTAGAGTGTCTGTCTTAAGAAGTGAAGCTCACTTGTATTTTGTAAGCAAACAGATGTGTGCATCAAATGGAGCAGGGTAGGCTGGAATGAACCTGTAGCCAGAGATCAGGAAATAAGAAGCTTGTACCAACTCCGTAGCCTGTGTGTGTGCCCAGGACGTGAAAGCAATTCTCTTGAGCCCAAGGACTGGGGAGCACGTGTGCATCTGATCCTCACGCTTGCTGTTTATCTCATAGCTGTGCTTGAAGTCAAAGACACCATAAAAAAATCCTAACAGGAAAGTGTCTGACCCCATCCCCAGATTTGACTGAAACCAAAGCCTATTTGTTGCACTGACCTCTTGTATGTCTCTCTTTTTCTGTTAATCCAACTGAAGCCTCCTCCCCAGTTTTCCACTCCTCCACCTACTATGAAAGAACATGCAGCAGGTGTGGGCAAGCACCTGCAGCTACATCAGGCTGTCCCACATCCTTGCCTTGCTCTAGGGTCCTCTCCTGGGTTTCCAGTTCTTCTTTGGTTCAGGATTCAGTCTCTGTCCCAGGCTCTGATCCAAAAGCCATTCCTCCACACCCCAGGCCCAAGTTGCAGTCCAGAGTGTATTCTGTATTGGCTGCCAGGCCATCAACTAAGAGCAACGGGGAGCTTGTTCTAGAATGCTTGACTCCTGGGCAGTGGGAAGCTCTGTGTGTTGCATGTTCACGATATGTGAGAGAAAGACTGCACAAAGCCACAGAGCCAGGTGATCGCGCAGCCATGAGGGAAGGGGTGATTGGGAAAGAAATGTATTCAAATGAAGACGGTGATGTTGGAGAGTGGTATGGTAACTGGTGATTGTATGTTTACCAAAAATACACACGTGTAGACACGTGTTATTCCTTTAAGAAGAAGAACAAAATGCAAAGAAATGGTGATCCCAGCTAATCCCTAAGAGATAACATTGGGATGTCTACATATCAGAGTTCCTGAAATCGAGTCCCGTTTCTGCTCTCCAATTCCCTGCTAATGCATACCTGGGAAGGAACAGGCAATGACTCAAGTACTTGGGTTCTTGTCACCCACATGGGAGACCTGGGTTGAGACCTGGGTTCTAAACTCATCCAGCAATACTGCCCAATGCTGGCAGCTTGAGCAGTGGATGAGAGCTGTCTTACA